GGGATCGAGTCCCGCATCGGGCTCCCTGCTCAGCGGGGAGTCTGCTTCTCCCTCTGACCCTCCCCCCTCATGTGCTCGCTCGCTCTCTCTCATTCTCTCTCTCAAATAAATAAATAAAATCTTTAAAAAAAATGCCTCTTTATTAAAAAATAAATAAATAAACAAAATAATGGGGTGCCTGGGAGGCTCAGCTGGTTGTTAAGTATCTGACTGTTGATTCTGGCTCAGGTCATGATCTCAGGGTTGTGAGATCCAGCCCCACGTAGAGCTCTGCGCTGGGCGTGGAGCCTGCTTAAGATTCTCTCTCCTCTCCTGCTGTAACCCCCGTCAGCTCTCTCTCTCTAAAACAAAAACAAAACAAAAAACCCCACAAAAACAAAATAAATGTCAAAATTAAAAACATGGAAAATTAACAATGTTGACAAGGATTTGGAGAAATTAGAACCCTTGTACATTGTTGATGGGAATGTAAAATGGTACAGCTTCTATGGAAAACTGTAAGGCAGTTCCTCAAAAAGTTAAACATAGAACTAGCATATGACCCAACAATTCTACTTCTGGGTACACCCAAAGAACTGAGACAGGGACTCAAACAGATACTTTTCTTTTTTCTTTTTAAGTAGGCTCCACAATGCAGGCCTTAAACTCACGACCCTGAGATCAAGACCTGAGCTGAGATCAAGAATTGGATGCTTAACTGACTGAGCCACCCAGGCGCCCCTCAAACAGATACTTGCAGGCCAGTATTCATAACATTATTCACAATAGCCAAAAGGTAGAAACAACCCCAAATGACAGAAGAATGGATCGACAAACTGTGGTCTATCCATACAACCGAATATATTCAGGCATAGAAAGGAACAAAGTTCTGATACATGTTACAACACGGATGAATCTAAAAAACATTATGTAAAATGAAAGAACCCTATCAAAAAGGACAAATACATATTTGTCAAATATATGTATATACTTCTATGAAGTGCCCTGATGTAACTAGATTAGCGGCTGCCAGAGCCTGGGAGAGGGGAAAGAGGGAAGTCATTACTTAATGGGTATAGAGTTTCTGCTTGGGATGATGAAAAGTTTAGAAATAGCGGTGATGGTTGCACAACACTATGAATGTACTTAATGGCCACCGAATTAACTGCACATTTAAAAATGATAAAATGGGGGGCACCTGGGTGGCTCAGTCCCCAGCTAAGGACCCAGACAGGCATGTCTGCTAAAAGAAAGTCACACGGACCAGGGCTGTTCAGAGGCCCTGTCCTAGGTTTCCAGTTGTGATTCACATTGTAGCACCCAAGGAACCATGTGGCCACAAGGTCTGAGTGTCTCTGTGGGCACAAAGGTGAACCCAGAGCTGTGGCCAGCCCACTGCCACCTGGTCCCACCTCCTGCAGGGCATGGCTTCTGTTTCTCTTTCCACAGCCATGTCAGAACTCAAAGGAAAAAAGTAAGTCAGGTTTGCTCTTTAATCTTTGTGCTGCGTTTTCTTGGCTGATGGTGTAGTGCTCCTGTGTTTCCATTCTACCGCGAAACGCTCAGTAATACCCAAGTGGGGCAGCGACTACCTACAGGCCTTCTGGGTGTCCCTGGGCACAAGATGGGGAGGAAAGTGACACAAGTACACATTAGCCTTCCCTGCCAGGATCCTAGACGCTAACTGAGAGAAAAGACAAACCCCTGGAAAGGGAAGGTCGAGACAAGGCCACAGAGACAACTCTCTAAGGAAGTGATGTAGAGATCAGTGCCAGAGGCAGATCTGAGAGCAACTGCTGGGTCCCTGAGCCTCCAAGGACCTTGGCACAGAAGCAGAAAGAAGTGTAGGGTAGAGGTTCCTGCAGGAAATCAGAGGCTGACACGGCAGACACTACTGTGGTGTGACTGAGGGCAGGGCTGGCAGAAGGGAAGGCAGGGAGCTCCCAGACTGAGGCTGAGTCACATTCACAGGCCCTGCCACTCTCACAAGACACGGAGACCAGGTCCCAGCTCACTCAGAAGCCACACTGCACTGTGTGGTCAGACCAAAGAGCAGCAGGAAACAAACGTGCTAAGCAAGGGCAGACTGGGAAGTAGAAGCCTTCATTCCCTGTCCCCACTACTCCCACCCAGTGACCCTACCAGGCAGACTAGGTTTCCAGGTTACCCAGCGATGCCACTCCCAGACCCCAGGGACATGCAACAAGACTGCCCCCCTTACTTCTTTTCTGGGTAAGGCTCAAAGGATTCGTCCGAGGACTGGGTATTCTGCTTCTTGTCATTTTCGTCTTCACTCAGGATGTCCCTAGGGAAGAAGAGAGAACCTTTAGCAAAGGCCTGTGGTGTGTGACAGATCCAATGACACTTCCTATCTAAAAACACCATCAAATCTCCATACTCCGTGTTTTAGCTCTCCTAAAAAGGTCTTAGAAACCTAAAACCCCCAAATCTCTGAACTCCTCTCCTAACAGAAAGGGCAGGCCAGCAAAATGACGATTCCCCAGAAGCCACACTCCTCTCACACCAGGACCCTGAACTTGGAAAGAACCTCTCTATGGGGCCCCAGGTAGCACACGAAGACCTCAAGGAGGCAGGCTTCTCAGAAAGTGGATTTTCAGACTGAGTTAACTATTTCCCATAACTGTGAGCACCTATCCAGCTGACCGGTCAGCTGCTGGCCACTGCAAAGGTCACAAAGGCCTGGAAAAGATCTGTGTATCTGTAAACTTTACCCTAAAGCATGAAGTCAGTTTCTATAGGGCAGCGGACAGAGACAGGCTGGTGGTACACCATGGCCTTCCCCTGCAGGCTGTCACCTGTCTGGACAAGAAAGACTCAAGGCTGGCTGGTGGGCTAAAGGACAGCCTGTGACCACTCCTGGTCCTGGAGGTGTTTTTAGCACACCTACTTGGGTTCTTCCAGCATCTCAGTCATTTTTCATTGACACCCCACTGGAGTTGAGCCAAAAATCATACTGTCCTCCTCTACTTGTTTGGATGAGGGTACATCTCCATTGCAGCCAGAGCTTATGGGGAAAGGCTGTGAAGGCCAGCTGGTGTGTGGCTGCCACGAGTGGTTCTCAGCTGACAAGCAGGAGGTGGCCCAGGAGCAAACAGTCCCTGACAGTGCCCTTTCCGGGGCGGGTTGTCCTCCTGCGCAGAACCTCTGCCCCAAGTCACAATCATGTCATGACAAAGGGCCAGAGACTGACTTCCTGTTTCAGTAACATCTACGGCTCGCACAAAACCACAGCCTTGAAGGAGACAAGCCAGCAACAGCAAAGGAGCGACCACGGGACTCTAATTTCCACACCACCCTAGTTGTGCTCCCCCTGCAAATGCCTCAGGCTGGGGGGCCCTCTGGATCAGGAACAAGAAGCTTGGAAAGAAACACCCTCGGCCACTCGTCTCCTTCCCACTGAGAGAAGGAGAGGGTCCTGGCCAGGACACGGACAGGGAGCACACAGGTTGGCGGAGTTTGGTTTTCCAAGGAGGAATTTTAGGCTATTTAAACCCACTCTTCTCTCACCCCTCAGAAAGGTCACTGAACTCGTCTTTTACCCGATCATCCGAGGTTGAAGATGGAACCTGCTTCTCACCCAACCGCCCTGAGAAACAAAGAACAAGGCTCCTGTTACCAACACGGAGCGCAGGCAGTGCTCCCCAGCGAGGAGGCGTGCACCTGTCTGACAATGGAGCCTTCCTTGCAGGGAGCCTGGGGTCCTTCACCTTTAAATCCCACCCACCTCCCAGCCCCATCCCCCATAAGGTTCCTGCATAGCCAGACCGACCACCCCCACGACTAGCACAGGCATGGGCAGCACCAGGCATCAGAAACCCTAGCCGACAGTCCACATCAGCAAGCCCAGCCCTTCCTAGAGGTTCAGATCCAGTCGTTTAGGGGTGGGACGACTCACACTTTGTGGATGTTCCAGGACGTTTAAGAAAATCATCGTTAGCAAAGTACTGCATGCCATGCACAGCTAAAAAAGCCAAGCAGTTCTAAGAACCTCTGACACAATTCCCTTTTCCCTTCCCAGCATTTGTGCACCTCCATCTCTCTGAACTATTTAGGTAGCTACACTTTTTTTTTTCTGGATAGTTACACTTTTAAAAAAGTGCCACCGAGAGCTCGGACACAAGAGCAGCCGAGGGCTATGCACAGACAGGCGCACAAACGGAGGCTAAGAGAAGCAGGGCGGAAGCGAACCCAGCCACCCTAACACAAAGTCAGTCCATCAACAGCTACACCCCAACCACAGCACTGTGGGATCGGGTCCCAAACAAGGGCCTATGTTTCCTCTTGGCCAGTTGGCAGAGGGGCCTGTCTACACGAGTCCCACTGGGATGTCACCGGGACGCTGGCTGAGACCCAGGGAATGACCTGCAGCTGGAACAAAACAGCCTCGGAGGCAGCAGCTGCCCTCTTCCCCCACGTCCCACAACAAGGACCCCATTCTTCTGCCTCCCTTGGCCCCCTGGCCCCAAGCAGGCTTAGCAAGGAAGACCAGATGGCAGGCGAGCATGCCTTTACAGAAACTGCTGGAATAGGGTCCTCAAACCCCCCCCGCTGTCAGATGCCCAGGAGGAGATGCTAAGGCCGGCTCCTCCTCATTTCTCCCAGAACCCCTGCACACAACACCATGACCACCGCCCACAACGATGCAGACATCCACTTCCTACTGAGAGCCCTGCCTGGTTCAAGACTAGGAATCCTGGTTTAACAGCCCAGAGGAGCCTCCTACCTGGGGCCCCACTTGAGGGGAAGCTTGGCTGAGGTGGGGGGCTCAGCCCAGGCCCTACAGGGATGACATCTGAAGGAGGCTGGGCCATGTCCGTGCTGGGCAGTGTCTCGGTCTCAGCTGGAACTGTGGTCGCTTTGCCCTGGGAGCTCTGAGGGGCAGCCCCAGTGGGGTTGGAGCCCCGATGCTGGGTGAGCCACGGGGCCATCTCCTTGTCCCATGTCCACTTGACTGCCAACGCACTGTCCAGCAAGAGGGCCCCGCAGCTGGAGTCGGCGTCCATGGTATAGTCGTGGCCCTGGTCACAGCCCCACACGGCTTGGATAACACCGCAGTACTCGGAGGACAGTGTCCTCTGGAGGTTAGGCAGGGCCCCACAGCTGGCTGCGTGTCCATGCACCCATGCCACCAAGTCACGTAGGCCCTGGGGGCTCGAAGTGATCAGGTCCACTGAGGAAAGGCACAGAGACGCCACACCCATGGCCAGTCAGCACCCAGCCCACCTCAAGCCTACCCACGAACCACACACCAGGGGCACACTCACCCAGACACGCTCCCTCCTCTGCCCCTGGTGGGGGCTGGGCACCAACCCTGCAAAGGATCAGCATGGCCATGAGTGGGGCTGCAGTGAACAAGATGCAGGCTCACCAGATCCCTCTCCCACATGCAGTCTGAAATTGCTCTTCCAAGGGCTGTCTCCTACACTCAGAGCCCTTCGTGGCCCTCACCTCCCCCAAGCATGTCTGTCCATCTCCCTCACACCAGTCACGCTGGTGCTCACACGTCTGCTGCTCCAGCATGATGCGTCTCCCCACTGCAGAGGCTCCCCCCAGCACTCCCTGTGCCTAGAACAGCCCCAGCGTGCAGGGTGCTTGGCCCCTGAATGCCCACCAAAGAATGAAGGAGGAACGCCTACTTTGTGCAAGTCTTCCGGTGGCCGGTCGGGGAGACGTTGACTCTCTGCAGGAAGGACTTGAGGAGGCCATGGCACTGGTAGAACTGGGTGTGGCAGTTCTTGCAGACAAACTGAGACAGAGCTGGGTCCTGGTGGACGGCCACCCCCAGCAAGTGCTGGAAGTCCCTGATGAAAACTCGCTCCCCTGGGGGTGGTCTGTCTGAGCTCTCCCCAGGTGCCCGGCCAGAAATGCTGCGGAGACTCCGTGAGGAGAACTTCCCATGGCAGAGGCGACAGTGCCCCATGGCAAGAGCCCGGCCTGTTCCTGGGCAAGCACAGGAGACATTAAGTCAGCTGGTAAGGCTGCTCGCTGCACAGGGCATGTAAGACACAAGCTCCTAGGAAGCGAGCAACGCGGCCCCAGGGGAGGTGAGACCCACGCTCTGCCGTCCTCCACGGAGATTCCCCATATATACCCCTTAAACACAAGCCCACACCTGCGCCAAAGGCAGGGCTCTGGCTCTGGGCTCCCAGTTGAACATAGAGACTTTTGGGAGATGTGCTCAGTGGAGGGCCTTATGGTCCAGAAAACCTTTCAGAGAATTCTAAGTGCTTCTACAACAAGGCCAGAATTACTCTCCTAACAAAACCAGACAAAGACACCACAAGAAAAGAAAATTACACGCCAATATCCCTGACAAACACAGCTGCCAAAATCCTCACCAAAACATTAGCAAACCAAATTCAACAATACACTAAGAGGCTCATATACCATGATCCAGTGGGATTTATTCCAAGGGTGCAAGGATAGTCCAACATCCACAAACCAATGAACCTGATACATGTTAACAAAACAAAGGATGCAAATCATATGAGCATCTCAACAGATGCAGAAAGTTTCTGACACAATTCAATGCCCATCATGATAAAAATTCTGAACAAAGGGGGTATAGAAAGAATGTACCTAAACATAATAAAGGTGACAGATAACAAGCTCATAGCTAACATTATACATACAAATAAAAAGCAGAAAGCTTTCCTCTCAGATTAGGAACAAGACAAAGATGCCCACTCTCACCACTTTTATTCAGCATAGCACTGGAAGTCCTAGACAGAGCAATTAGGCAAGAAAAGTAAGAAATATCCAAATAAGAAAAAAAGAAGTAAAAAACTGTCTCATTTGCAGATAATATGGCATTATATATGGAAAACCTTAAAGACTCCATCAAAAGACTCTCAGAATGCTAAGAATAAAAAATCGGTAAAGCGGCAGGACACAAAAATCAATAATGAACTATCAGAAAAAGAAATTAAGAAAGCAATCCCACTTACAACTGCATCAAAAAGGGGGTGCCTGGGTGGCTCAGTTGTTAAGCGTCTGCCTTCAGCTCAGGTCATGATCCCAGGGTCCCGGGATCGAGTCCCCCATTGGGCTCCCTGCTAAGCAGGAAGCCTGCTTCTCCCTCTCCCACTGCTTGTGTTTCCCCCCTCTCTCTGTCAAATAAATTAATTTAAAAATTCATCAAAAAGAATAAAATACCTATGAATAAATTTAACAAGGAGATGAAAAACCTACACACTGAAAACTGTAAGACACTGATGAAAGAAAGTGAAGACACAAATAAATGAATATTCTGCGCTCGTGGATTAAAAGAAAACTGTTAACATGTTCATGCTACAAAAAGCCATCTACAGATTCAGTACAATCCTGATCAAAATCCCAATGGCATTTTTCACAAAAATAGAACAGTCCTAAAATTTATACGAAACCACAAAAGACCCCAAATAGCCAAAGCAATCTTGAGAAAGAAGAACAAAGCCAGAAGCATCACATTTCTTGATTTCAAACTATATAACAAAACTACAGTAACTGAAACAGTATAGTAATGACATAAAAACAGACAGACTGATGCAACAAAAAAGAGAGCCCAGATATAAACCCATGCATATGTGAGATCAATTAATTTACAACAAAGGAGACAAGAATATACAATGGAGAGGGGCGCCTGGGTGGCTCAGTTGGTTAAGCGACTGCCTTCGGCTCAGGTCATGATCCTGGAGTCCCGGGATCGAGTCCCGCATCAGGTTCCCTGCTCTGCAGGGAGTCTGCTCCTCCCTCTGACCCTCCCCCCTCTCATGTGCTCTCTGTCTCTCTCATTCTCTCTG